TAACACTGAAGAAAGCAGGAGCCACATTTGAAATCACTGGCACAGGAAAGGGCTTCCTGAACAAGACCCTGGCGGTGTAGACATTCAGACCAATACCTGATAAATGGCACCTAAGGAAACTAAATGTTTCTGAAAAGAAAAGGTCACCGATATTTAAGTGAAGAGGCAGCCAACCAAATGGGTGAAAAATTTACCAGCTATGTATCTGGGAGTTTCCATCCAGGATGTGCAACGAACCCAAAAAACTAAATGCCAAGAAAACAACAACCCAATTTAAAATTATGACTTGGAACTAAACATGAAGTTCTGAAAAGATGAAATAAAAACAGCTGAAAAACTTTTTTTTTCAAGTTCAATATCCTTAGCCATTAGAGAAATGCAGACTAACTTTGAGATTTCATCTTACCCCATTTAGATGATGAATTTTCTACAAGGGCATTTTTATTGTGTGTATCGGGGTCCGGGAATGCCATGAAGTCTTGAAAAAAGGCAGAATGGGTGAATCCTATCTCCCTTGACAACCCCGAGTTGATCTCCAAATGCTAACATCATGTGACATAAAGCATGAGTCTTTGCAAAATAAAATGGCACATTCCTTATGTCCTGTTTGTCTGTCTGCCTCCCTCCCAGATGCATACAAACACTGTGGGCTGAAGGGTGGAAATACCCTGTATAATCCTCTCATTTTTCCACTAGGTTCTCTGCCAGAGCAAGATTCACAATGGAAGAAAACACACCAAGTTATTGTGCTGGATGAGTTAAGAAAAAGATTGTCCCCATTTCTGTTTTTCCTTAAAATCTTTGTTTGTAGTACTCTGTACTCATATGAGTTTCAGTTTATGCCTCAAAATACCAGTAACTGAAAATGCAGCTCCCCCAGTGTACCCTAACATGGGGGAGGATACTCTCATTCTCAGCCCACTCGGTTGCCCAACACTCTGCAAACACCTGTCTCAGGAAGTGACATTGGTTCAAATGTCCAAAGGTAATGCTGTTGTCCGCAGTCATTTTAAGTAGTTTTATCCTGATAGTTTAAAAGACTTGTTGTTTAATTAACGTGCCAAAATTAAGAGCAGCGAAGACATCCTCAGACTCTTGTTGGTGTAAATATTTATTCAGCCATAAATTTGCTTTTTATTCATTGCCGTTAAAGCTTTGGTGGTTAGTAGAATATAAATTTGTCAGTCTTGCTGAATGTGTAACAGTTGTTGGAATGCCAAAGGGCTTGTCATTTTGCACACCAGTTTGTTTATTTTATGGAGTCGGACAAACGCCATAATGCACATGCAGGGGTCAGAGCACAGCGTCAAGGGGTACTTACTTATCTCTTACCATGGGAGTCCTGAGGCTCAACCCTGAGTCGCCACACTCGGGCACAGGTGCTTTGACCTTGCTGAGCCATCTCATGGGCTCCACAGGCTTATGTTTGACATCTGGCAAAAGTCTGCCATTCAGATTCAACTTTGGCCTCAGTCTATTTCAACACCATTTCTGGAATCCTTGAAATTTTGTATGATCAATAATCTTATGGTCGTTGCAGCCATCACTGCCCTATGGCTGACCCTAGGCATGACTTGGGGATTGTTGTAGTATGTGAAGCCCCTACTGTATAGACAGTGTCGCATGTATTTCAGTTTTGCCCCGGAGTAAAGACCCTCCTTCTGGCATCAATCTAAAACACCAACATTTGTGTAAACTCTTACAATCAAGGACTCTTCAGCTTGTCTTAAGCAATTTATTTCTGGTACGAGACAATGATGACACTAGAAATTAGCTCTTCTGGCTCATTCTGGAATTTTTTATATTCGTGTGTAAATGACCATTTTTGGTTTAAAATCCTCTTTTGCCTTTTCCCCACTATCCACTCTCTGCCAGGAACTTCACAGTAGTGAGAGAGAGCATGGGAGAAAACTGGAGGAGAACATGTCTCACATTCTGTAGACAGTGGCTCTCCCGCCTGATTACTTAGCCTCATGCTGAAAAGTACAAGAATATCCTAAGTTCAGGAGTTCATTTAAGAAAAACTAACAATAGTCCTCATTGTCCGCTATGCTCAGCGAGACTGGTTTTAACCCAGGCTTTTTCAGACCCAGGCCAGCTGACCTTGGTGAGTTCCTTATAGAACATCCCCATTGTCTCAGTGTGTTGGTGCACCCCTCGCGGTCCTGAGTTCCTTGCTCGTGCTCACTCTCCTTCTGCTCCTGATTTGGACCTTGAGATTTCAGTCTGGTGCTCCAATGTGGGTGAACAATGGCTATGGGTTTTTGATCCTACTGCACCTATTGGTTTTGTGGGAGCCTAGGCAGTTTGGATGCTCACCTCACTAGACCTGGATGGAGGTGGGTGGTCCTTGGACTTCCCACAGGGCAGGGAACCCTGATTGCTCTTTGGGCTAATGAGGGAGGGGGACTTGACTGGGGGCGAGGGAGGGGAAAGGGAGGTGGTGGTGGGGAAGAGACAGAAATCTTTAATAAATAAATTTTAAAAAAAAGAAAAACTAACAAGCACTGAGCTGCGGTCGAGGTTATTAGCAGATGTGGTTTTACATGTGTAATGGGCTAAGTGTAGACCATGGTTCTGATCAAATAAAAGCAGCCCATGGAGTACTGTATCAACAAAAGTCTTGTTGTATCAAAAATTAAACAAGGTGATATTTTAATTTATTCAGATTTGCTAAACCACATTGGGTTCAAAACTGTGTCTTTAATTAAAAAGGTGGTAGTCGGTAGTCATCCCTAAGTCCCAGTGAGCCTTTGAATGGGAGCTCTAGGAACTTGGTGTAAAAATTACTCAAAAGAGAGATTTCTAAACTCTTACAGCTGACTGATGTACAATATCTGTTGTTTTGAGCTGGTCTGATTATTTTAACATACCAGTTAAATACGCGTTCACTTACTGTACAGAGCCATACTCTCAAAAGAATGAATGAAGGCATAGTTAATGCATCTACTATATTAAAATTTAAAATTAGTTTTAATGAGGATCAAGTATGATCTCTGTCTTCTAAACTTGAAATTAAATGATTAAATGGCCTTGTTGAAAAGGACCCTCTCCTTTTCTATCTCTTTTTAGAACAAGCTTTCTTATTGCTTCTATCTATCTATACACAACAGGAAATAAGATAGAAAAAGACAGGTAAAGAATAGGCAATCCAAAATTTGTGTCAAACTAGCAATAATCAATATCCATCCAAAGATACACAATCTCATCAAGGGAGCCAAATGTAGTATACATTTAATTTCATTAAAAAAAAAACCATTTTCCAACAAACTTTTCTCCTGACCCTCCTAGAGCCTCACACATGGCAGGAAGCACAAGGTCACTGAGTAATATTTCAGTCCTTTTTTTTTTCTATTTGAGCAATGATCTCACTTTGTTCCCCTGGCTGGCCTAGAACTCACTGTATAAACCAACCTGGTCTTGAGCTGGTGAGCAATCCGCGCCCCTGCCACACAAGTGCTGGCATTACAGCCATGTGCCACCCCACATTTCCTCAGCCTGCTCTTCACTTCTTATTTTGAGTCAGGGTCAACAGATTTCTCAGGCTGGGCTTAAACTCACTCCTGCTCCCAGGCTAGCCTTGAATTGTATCCTTCCGCCTCAGTCTCATGAGTACCAGGGGCACAGACATTCATCATAATAGCCAGCAAAATAGACAAGCTTCAATCTTGTGATGACCATATATTAATCCCCTTATCAACCATTCCTATCTTGGAAAACAAATAGAACAATGAATCAATACTGATGAAAATGTTTTATTTCATCTGTGAAAAATTCAATATGAATACTTATCAAATAGAAATTATTCCCTTATAGAATAATCAATCTTTATTTCCTTGATGTTTAGTGATTTATTAAATATGTACATATGGCTTAGGTCCAGTTGAACTGTCATTTTCTTCATAATAAATGAAGATAAGAGAACCATAAAAAAAAAAAGTCAAATTTCTACACATTGGAGGGAGGGCTGGGGAGGTAGTTCAGTCAGTAAAATGCTTCCCATGTAAGCATCAGGACCTAAGTTTGTATCCCAGCATTCATTCACATAAAAAGCCAGGTGTGGAGGTGTGCACCTGTGTTCATTCACATAAAAAGCCAGGCGTGGAGGTGTGCACCTGTGTTCGTCCACATAAAAGACCAGGTGTGGAGGTATGCACCTGTGTTCATTCACACAAAAGGCCAGGTGTAGAGGTGTTCACCTGTGTTCATTCACATAAAAGGCCAAGTGTGAAGGTATGCACCTGTGTTCCTAGCCCTATGAGGCAGAGATGGAGTGATCACAGCAGCTTACTGGCCAGCCAGTGTATCCAATTGGTTAGCTCTTGGATTAGTGAGAGATGGCTGCCTCAAAAATTAAGATGGGAAGCTGTTGGGAAGCTACCTGATGACATCATCTGACCTCCACACTTACATGCGTCCTCAGACACACACCCCTGTAATGTCAGACTTTCACTGGGGAGGCCTGACACAAACATCTATTCATCCCAGAATAGGAAGCGATGACGGAACAAAGTCATGATTCTGCCAAGGTCTAACTTGGCTTTATTTATTTCAATTTCTTTAAAAAAAAAAAAAAGACACTGAAGCACATACCTCTAAACTTACCTTATCTAACATTCTGAGGTAAATTTCATTTATTATGTCATTTGGGAGAAGGCATTGCTCCCTGAATTACCAAGAGCAGATTGATATTATATATTAGTATTCATTGTCCTTTTTTAAAAAAAAAGTCAGCCATATTGATTGATTTCATCAAACTGTGTGATTTATTTTATTTTTTTAATTGTTTAAAGTGCTGAGTATTAGTCTGAGTTGCTGACCGCCTTTAGGCACAATTTTTCAAATTTTACGGTAACTTCAAAAAGTCAATAAAAGAATAGAGATGGTACTGAAAATTATCTGGAATTGATTTTTTTTAATAGTGAAGTAGTTAATATGTTACCAAAATAAGTGGTTGGTAGTTTACTTTCATCGCCCATCGGGTAAAATAAAAGCCAGTGGCTCTGGACAACGATCAGAGGTCAAGGGGCCAAGGGCTCAGAACCATTCTCCGTCTCTGGCCCTCTCCACCATGAGGGGAAACCAGCAGCTCACACTGGTCTCCTTTTTACTGTTACTGCTTCTTCCCAGAGATGCCGCAGCTGCTGCAAAACCGTAAGCAATTCTTACTTCAGAAAACCCTTCCTTCCTACTGTGTTATCTCTTTCCTGGCTTCCTATGCAGTTACCTGTTGTCAAAGAACTTGAAGGGACCAGTAAGTTGTCATGGGTCATGTAGAAGATCTACTCCAGTTCTAGAAACCTCAGATATATGGGGCAGGAATCTTGTCAAACAGCACCAGATAAAAATATAGAATTTCGACCAAAAAAAAAAAGGATAAACTGTTTGTCACAGTGGTTCTCAACCTTCCTAACGCTGCAACTCTTTAATACAGTTCCTTTAATACAGTTCCTCATGTTGTGCTGACCCCAACCATAAAATTATTTGTATTGCTATTTCATAACTGTAATTTTGCTCTGTTGTGAATTGTAATGTAAATATCTGATATGCGGTATATCTGACATGTGACCCCTGTGAAAGGGTCGTTCAGTCCCTCAAAGGGGTTACAACTGACCAGTTGAGAACCACTGGTTTATCAATTCATAAATGCCCTGCATCGTCCTGGTATTGGGAAGTAGCTCAGTGTCTCTGTTTCCCTAAGTTGAGGGGGGCACCCAGGGCAAATGGATGAGAGACTGCGTGAGTCTCTTTTTTGAATCCTTCAGAAAACATAGGGGCTGCAGTAGATTTTAGAAAACATTGACAAAATTCTCTTCCTGAAATATCTCACAATATGGAAAAAAAGATATGGTACTCAAGAAAAAGAAAGAAAGAAGTAAAGAGATAGCCCCAAAGAGAAACAGCAGAGACCCACGAAGAAAATCTTAGACTTCATAGGGCCAATGCAGAAAAGGGATCTTTGGCAAGTTTGGCAAGTTCTAATGAGATAAAAATTTTCAGGACAGACAGACACTCAGGAGGCGAGAAGCAATGTGAAATATACAACCTTGCAGAGCGGGGAAAGTTCGGGTGCCTGGCCATGAACGGCAAGGACGTGCCAGGAAAGGCTGTTCTCCTCTTGGCAGTGTCTGGGATGTTTGCTGATTACATCAGCAGACTGCTGGCTTACATCACCAGACAGTGAAAGGAGGGAGGGAGCTGAGGTTGCTTCTTAAACTTTTTTTTTTTTTTTTTTTTTTTGAGTTCTTGAGACAGGGTTTCTCAGTAGCTTTTGGTTCCTGTCCTGGAACTAGCTCTTGTAGACCAGGCTGGCCCCGAACAGAGATCCGCCTCCCTCTGCCTCCGGAGTGTTGGGATTAAAGGCGTGGGCCACCACCACCAGGCCATGCTTCTTAAACTTGATTGCGAAGCAATTCAGCTTTCCCATATGTGGCATGTTAGTTTCTAGTGCTTTCTGGATGAGATATTTGTGGTACTCATATGGAGCCTGAGGCTACAGGCAGTTGGGTTTTTAAGGCTTCCAGTGATGAACCATCGATTAGTTCATGGTTTGGAAATTTGGAATTTTTAACCAAAATATATGATAGCTGTCACATCAGATGGTGTGGGGGGGGGGGGGGTGAATGCATAGATCAGGAACATCTATCCATCCCAGATAGAGAATCAACAATAGACTAGAGTAGACCACCTTGGTCAACTTGGTCAACCAAAGCATTTACTGGGGATACCTACAGGAATATGAGTCGGGGATTGCCTATGGGAGCATGGATGATTCAAAGGCAACTACAGAACCAAAACCACCTGGGCACTGATTCATGAAAGTCACATCCCTGGAGCTCTCTGAGTGACTTGTAGATAGTTCTACTAATAGTACAGTCTCCTACAGGGAGCTTGACTGGTCCAGGAATATCTTAGAGGCAACTCGGTCTCCTCTCTTCTCTCCAGCAGTTGTTCACTGCTTCTGTAACCATGGAGAGATGCCATCAATCCTGTTAGTCTCAGCTCTCCAGAACTCATAAGATTTACTTCTTGAGTCTCAAGTTCCTCCCTGGCCCCTCTCCAGGAAGGAATGTTCCAATTTGGAGGAAATTGCTACACAGCAATAACTTGAATTGATCTCCCAAAGTCTCTAATATTAGATGTTGATATTAAACATTCTGTGGGTGAACATTTCCTGAAAGCCAGAGAATCACGTCAGTATTTAATCTGGGATTTTTATGGTGACCTCTGGGGAACCCAATCTTGCCGAAACCTATTACTGGTGGCAATATGAACTACACTAGGAAATAACATCCTTTTAACCCTTCACGGTTATCCTTCTCCTCCCCACAGACAATATGTGGTGCTGGTCCCATCACAGCTCGATGCAGGAGTTCCTGAAAAGGCCTGTGTCAACCTCCAGCACCTGAACGAGACTGTGACCCTCGACATTATTCTACAGTATGAAAAGCAGACCACAAACCTCCTCACAGGCCAGACGGTAGAGAAGGATTCCTTCTACTGCAGCCCTTTCATGGTCAGTGTCCTTCCCGGGATGTGTGGTACTGGTAGAGAAAGAGTAACCAAGTTGAACTTTATGTTCTCATCTATCAAAAGGAAAAATATCTTAAGGAAAATCTAACTTAAATTTCTTTTTATGAAACTTACAAACAGATCTAATGAAGTGCTTGGAAGGTTACCATAGCTTTAGGACAGATTTAATTTTACCTTAAAATGACTTCTGAGGTAAATACTCTTTATACTTTTACAGATATAAGTATTGAGATTCTTCTTTTAAGATTTATTTTCACAAGCTGGGTGGTGGTGGTGCATGCCTTTAATCCCAGCACTCAGGAGGCAGAGGCAGGTGAATATCTGTGAGTTCAAAGCCAGCCTGATCTACAGAGTGAGTTCCAGGACAGACTCCAAAGCTACACAGAGAAACCCTGTCTCAATAAAATCAAAAAAAAAAAAAAAAAGATTTATTTCACTTTCCATGTCTCTGTGTATGTGCACATGAGTGCAGGTTAACTACTGAAGACAGAAGGGGGCACCCTAGAGCTGTGGACAGTGGTGAGCCTCATGACATGGATATGGGACCCTAATTCCCCTGCAAGGGCAGTGTGTGCTCTTAACTGCTGAGCCATCCTCAGAGGTCTTGAATACAGACTCATAAAAGCCAAGTTAGTCATGTAAGACAGACGGTTGATACTGGCCTTGGAAGGTAGAATGAGATAATTATTTTTAATACCAAGACTTCGCTTTGAAAATGAAGACACCATCTGTTTCATTGTGGTGGCTGCACTGAAGGATGTCCCGCTGTTTCCTCCTTCGACCTAAGTAGTGAATTGCTAACATCACATCACACAATCGTAGCAGTCTCTGGATGTAACCGGAAATTGAGTCCTTGACATTCCCTTGCCTGTTCTCAGGGTTTCACGCAGAAAACAGACTCTAAAAGCTGAGCACTCAGACGCGGTCTGAGCACACTCTTCACGTTTCTGTCTTGCAGATCTCCAGTGTGCCAGCATCCTCAGCATTCATTATCGTGCAGATAAAGGGGCCGACCCAGAACTTCACAAGGACGAGGCCAATGCAGATAAGAAAAGCAGAGAACATAGTCTTTGTCCAGACAGACAAGCCCATATACAAACCAGGACAAACAGGTATAAGGAATTAACTGAGCAAGGACAACTGTGGGGATGTGGGTGAGTGGTATTCTTTATGATTAGGCCGCAGTCATGGCACCTCTGGCCCTGGGTTCCCACTGTGCAGGGGTGGGGAGGTAGACAGAGACTGTGGGCTCGTTTCCCACCCCCTACACCCAACACAGAAACTATATTAATTACAACGCTGTTTGGTCAATAGCTTAGGCATATTTCTAGCTAACTCTTACATCTTAAATTAACCCATTTCTATTAATCTGTGAATCACCCTGAGGGTGTGGCCTACTAGTAAGCTTCTGACTGGCAGCAAGCATCCTTCTCCTTCAGCAGTTACATGACATCTGACTCCACCTACTTTCTCTCTGTATCTCTGTTTGGATTTCCTGTCTGGCTTCGTTCTACTAAGCCATTGGCCAAAACAGCTTCTTCAATAACCAATGGTAATAAAACATATTCATAGCATACAGAAGGGAACCAGTAGAGTCTCACATAGAAAATCTCTGTTTCAGTGAAATTCCGTGTTGTCTCTGTGGACACGAGTTTTCACCCGCTGAATGAAACGGTGAGTCTCCTTTTGGTGGGTGAATTCAAATGAGAAAAATATGCATACACTTAAGTCTCATTCATTAAAAATTAATAACCTGAAATCATGAAAGAGCTATTAAGTCTATCACAGAAGATTGCCCCGAATGTACCCATGCCAGAAGCATATGCAGTGGTGGCGTCCGTGCAGTTCACCAACTGCTTTCTTAAAGTAGATAAAGCACTCAAAAACAAGCAGCCATGGTGATGTATGCTCCTAGTCCCAGAATGTGGGAAACTGAGTTGAAGGATCACAAGGCCCTGGCCTGCCTGCACCACACAGTAAGACACTGTCTAATAAATAAATTAATTAATTAGTTAATTAATTTTAAAAAAGATATTCAATCGAAAATGTCCTCTTAATCTGAAAAAGCCTGGGATAAAACCGGTCTGGCTGAACATAGCGGACAATGAGGACTACTGAGAACTCAAGAACAATGGCAATGGGTTTTTGATCCTACTGCACGTATTGGCTTTGTGGGAGCCTAGGCAGTTTGGATGCTCACCTTACTAGACCTGGATGGAGGTGGGTGGTCCTTGGACTTCCCACAGGGCAGGGAACCCTGATGGCTCTTTGGGCTGACGAGGGA